CATGGACAAACAGGAGGGGAGAAAAAGAAAAGCAAGTTAAAAAGAAAGCAAAGGACGAGGGCTCTTTATCCTGGATGATCTTTGGTCTCTTCTGCAAGAGTCCCTGCCTCCTCATCACCTTCCCCTAACACACACATGACCCTAGTCCTTCTGGGAGCAAGTGAAGCAGACAGACCAGTCTCTGGCCAACCCCTCATGAGTTCCCTGTGTTTCCTGCCGCCATCATCTTCACACTTTGCTCCTTGGCCCCAGGAAGGACTTCTGAAGGGGTTGATCCCTAATCCCTTCTTTCTCTCCAGCCTAGGCAGGGGAGACACAGGACTGCACACTGAGCCATTTTCCCATTAGGTGAGTCCTGGGTGGAGGGTACTAGAATTTAGGACTTTCTTCCTGGCAAAGCCGGACTACCACATCATCATCTCCACTTCCTGGGGAAGGACTGGGAAACAGCAGTTGGTTTTTAGAGGGGTTCTGCCATCTTCAGCTGTAAGGACACCCAGGAATTCCTGAGCCACTTCCTTACTAAAACTTCTTGCCTCCTGGGCCCATAACTGGGTTTAATTAGGGGATGGATATTTAGTTGTGCATTTTCATGTGCGCAGGAGGTGGATCTTCCCAACATCGCCTCAGTCTCCAATGTGAGTGAGTAGGTGAGTGGCAGGCTTGAGAGGGAAGCTGCTTTCACCACCCTTAAGTGTGAGATAGAAGAGAGTAGGCCCCACAAACTCAGAGGAACTTTAGTGTCTGCATAGGAAGGCCCAGGGCACACTTGGGTGCTTTCCTTCCTGAATCCTTACTGCTTGCCTTCCCAGAGCTATGGGCTTCATCTTGAAGGCTGGAAGGGAACTGCATGTTGTTTAGAGAGAGGCAATAACTGGCTTGAGAGAACTGTGGGTGGGGGAGAGACCTCATGGGTACTTTCTCCTGGTGGAGGACCACTCACCCACTCCGCTCCCAAAGGGAACAAGGATTGGAGCTAAAAGGCAGGACTACTCCCTAAATTCTAAGGGACACCTCACTATTTCCTTCCATTATCTATTAAAGCTTCTGACCCCTTCTCTTCCCTCCCCTCAGCCATGGTTATCCAGAGTCTCAACTCTGTGGAAAGGATTCTTATGTATTTTTAAGCCAAGGAGTTTTGAGGAGTGTGTGGGGAAAACGGAGAAGGTTCATGAAAGGCCTGGGCTGGGGAAATGGGTTAGGGAAGCCAGGGGAGATGGAGAGAGAGGGAGAAAGCTACATATGTATGAATGGGGGAGGGGAGGATGCAACAGCTGGATGGAGGTGAATGCCACAGCTGGAGGGGATTAGGGGTTTCAGTAGAAGGGGAGGGGGACCATTGCCTGGGCATCCAGGAACAGGTGCTCGTTGCCTATAATCCTCAGGTGCAGCCTGCTAAGTGTGTATCTGTGGGGGTGGGGGTGGGTAGGCACACCAGGCCTTGCCCGTCCTCCCTTTCCTTTCCTCTTAGGGGCGAAAACTCCTCCTCCTCTTTCCCTCCTCCCCTTCTTGAGGATGAGTGGGAGGAGAGGAGGATGGTCTCTTGCCCGCTGTCCTTAAGTCTGTTCCCCAATCATCCTCCCACCCCCACCCGCACCCCATACAGTCCTTTTCAGTTCTTGAGGCTCTTCATCTCTAAACTGGGCCGCAGCCTCCCTCTGCTCCGTTCCTCTCCTTTCCATCCCCACAGGCGTCGGGTCCAGGTCCACAGTTCCTCCATCCCCACATCCTCAGCATCCCCGCTGCACCCTCCCCCACGCAGCCACATCTGCATCCCGACCCTCCCTCACCACCCGGATCCCAGGACCCGGACCCATCCCTGCCCCCCAACCCCGTCAACTCGGCCCGGCTCTCACCTCGGGGGCTCCGCGGCCGCAGCACAAAAGGCGGCGCTGCTGCAGCTCGGCTCCGGATGCTGCTCCCGCCTCCTCCTCCTTCTCCTCCTCCTTCTCTCCTCCCCCCGCTGCCCTCGACTGGACCCGGGGCGCCGTCACAGGAGATGCTCGTGCGGTGCACGGGTGTCAGCCCCCGATTT